ATTTTAAATGAGGACAAAAAAGGCAAAAAAAAAAAGCTAAATATCTCAAAGTATGAATTGCTGAAATACCAGAAATCACAGCTGGAATGTCCTGAAAGAGCTCGACTGTTTTGATTTAGGAATTGTTGAAATAGCACCAAACTTGGAGAATGAGATGCATGTTGAAAAGCGTATGGAATAAAAAAAATATCTCAATAGTGTGAATTCAGGATAAGCGTTCACACAACAAGACAAAGTAATTCTATTCTAACAATCAATAAGGTTACGAATACAGTATTTGTTAGTGGGTTTCTAGGAAATTGAAGGTGAGGGTCTAGGATGGACTCGAAGCAGTTGAGCGGCTTTCAGAGACATTTTACATTTCTAATCTAACTTGGTTGTTTTGGGGTCCGTGAGAAAAAACTGTTCAAATACCACACAGAGAGGCCACAGCAGCAGGCCTATTTATAGTCTCTAACCATCTTCCTGTGAGGTGACAGCACTAAGTACTGCTGCGCCTAATCATGATGACATAATTCCACAACCGGCAGAAACTTTTGGATTAAATATGGCAGCGGTGGGGTTGTTCTCTCTTATGCAGTGCCCTGGTGTATATTAAGCTCTCCCTACTACAGTGCTCTCTTTTTATTATGCTAATGAGCATACAAAGCCACTGGGCTCTGAATTGACTCTTCGTCTTAATTGGAATAAAAAAAAACATGAGCCATTAATAACATCACTTTGTCGAGCTTCTGAACTGCCTGCAGAAAGAAGAAATATCCCTGAGCATGTTAGGATGACTGATGATTTAGTAAAGGATGTTAACTTTGCATGCTACGCACATGGCTGTCTGCTTTAGTAAAGGAACATGACATCGTAATAAGTAAGCAGCTCAAATTTAAGTCAAAAATACTTTTTTAGAGCATTTGACTTGTGTTCAAAGAGCAACAGAGGCTGAAATATTTTAAGAGAAAGAAAACATACTAACGAGCTTCATTCTCTGCAGTCTCTGCTCTGCGGGGGTTACAACTCAGACTCAACAAGTAGGAAATGTGAAGAGAAAAGGAACAGAGAGATGGGTCGAGTGTATGAAACGTTCCTTATCCTCTCCGGCTGTTTTGAAGTTATTTCGCTTTGAAAACTCTTTGAATGGACAGCTCATGCAGACTGATGCAAGAACCAGGCAATGTCTTTGGCTTCTCAGATAGCGATTCTAAAAGAACACGATACGCAATCAGTCAGAAAAGCTAACTGTATTTCGGTTCACAGCACAGTTCATGACTTCAGTCTAGTTTTAAGTAGAATGCTCTGACGAACACCTCATCTATCAGAGAAAAACATCTCAAATGACAAGTCACTAATTTTCTTTCACACGCCTTTTTTTCTCCTTAAAAGACGACTTTGATTAGAATCAGAATCAAAATCAGAATTTTTATTGTCATTGTTAAAATAACATTCATGCAAGTGTTTTAAACTATATTTGTTTAGCTCCAACATGCAAGGCTGGATGGACAAGTCTTCTGTTGTGGACGTATTTTATTAATTTGTAAATAAAACATTTCTGTTGTAACCCCCTCTGTCAAACTAGAATGAACCGCTCTAGAATCTGGAGGTGAGTGGGGGGTGTGAAATGCCTTGTTTGGATTTAAAGAGACAGCCTCAAAATGAGTTGCAATGAGACAACCCTCAGAGAGGGGTGAAACGGGCTTGTGGAGTTACAATCAATCACCTTTATTTAAACAGGTAAGAACCCATTGAGATCAAGATCTGTTTTCCAAGAGTGACCTGGCCAAGAGGCCAGCGGCACACGTCATAAAAATAATAATCAAAAACAGTTCACAAATCAGAAAACAAACAGATAAAATGAAGATAAAGAAAGAATGATCCTAAAGGTTTCAGGCAAACCATGGTACTAAACTTGACAGTGACTAAAGCTCCATGATGCAGTAAAATTACAACTGATGAAATGAATAAACAGGAAATGGTTGACGACAGAAACAACACAGACAGTTAATATGTGAAGTTTAAAAACATAGGCAGCGATCAAAGGTCTTGGGGTTGAAATGAATGATGTTAGAGAGGTGAGCCCTGACAGTTTGATCAGTTTGTAAGATGTTCCACGCCGAAGGAGCGGCAAAGCTGAACCCTTTTTTTCCCTAGTTCAGTTCTGACACGTGTAACAGTAAGGAGGATAACATTGTCGGAGCGTAGGGAGTGGTGGTTGTTGGTTCTTTGTAGTAGGGTGCCTAAATAAGAGGGGACTCAGGAGGGCCTTGTAGATTAGAGTAATCTAGTGGGTGTATATGCATGTAGTGAGAGAAGACCAGCCTGATTTAACGTACAGCTCACAGCGATGAGTGAGGTGTGAGGTAACTGGAGCCGGTGATTAACCTCAAAGCACTGTGGTGAACTATGTCTAAGCACTGCAAATATTTTGATACAGCATTTATGTATAGCCCGTCTCCATAGTCCAGTAAGGGGGTAAATGTTGCAGATACTAAGGTTTTTCTAACTTTAGATGAGAAGCAGGCTTTGTTTCTAAATTAAAAACCCAGCTTCAACTTGAGTTTGGTTGCGATTTTGTTAATGTGGGCTTTAAAGTATAAGCCGCAGTCAATGAAAAAAACAGATATTTATAAGTGGAGACCTGTGCTATTTGTTGTCCCTGCTGGGTTAAAAGTTTRYGAAGGCTCCCTGGTTGCTGTCTTCTGTTGGATAGAACCATGAGCTTGGTTTGTCAGCATTTACAACTAATTTAAGCTTTTCCAGATGAGATTGAATGATGTTAAAAGAGTCTTGTAGAAAGGTAAAAGCCTGATTAAGGGAGGATGAACAGCAGTAGATAACCGTGTCATCTGCATAAAAGTGGTAGGAAGCATTAGGCAGATTGCTACACAGATGTAGATTGTGAATAAAATCAGACCCAGAACAGAACCTTGTGGCACCCCTTTGACAACATTTAAAAATGTAGAGGTGGATCCATCCACGTTAAGGCACAGTGTGTAGGATTTGTTGTTTTCAGCGACATCTAGTGGTTGAGTGGTTGAATCATCCTCCCTGGTCCTCCCCCCCACCCCCAACCCCGGCTTCCAAACGCAAAGGAATTGCTACGGTGTCTCTCAGGTGTCAAAAACCTTTGATAATTCCAACCGCGATGTCTACCAGCAGCTTCAGGGCTAGTGATGTTTCAAGTGGTAAGATTATGAGCTTTAATAAGTAAAATTATCCCAGCTACAATGACAGACAACAAATATTACATTTATAGTATTACAACTAAAATCGTTTTTGACACCGCCACCGCAGTTTGTTCTTCATGAGCCTTCGTAGACAAGATGGCGGTGCAAGATGGCGGCTGCCTGTAGGGCGACCCGCGACCATGGAGATTTAAACAGCTTTTTATAAGGTAAAAATAATAAAACAAGGTCTTTGTCTGCAATGATTAGACATGTTTTTTATTATTGTCATTCGTGATTATCTCAATTTCGGCTAAAAGAATTGACAAAATCCTACACACTGTGCCTTTAACGGACTGCGTTCTGTTAGTCAGGTAGTTTGCAAACCAGGAGACCGCGTGTTTTGATAGACGGGAGTGTTCCAGCATGTTTATCAATAATCTGTGATCAAATGCTTTGGATGGGTCAATAAAAAGTGCAACACAATATTTTTTTGCAGTCCAGTGCTTGTATGAAGTTATTTAAGACCTTGAGAACGGTCAATATGCAGGAATTCAAATCAAAGCATTGCAGTTAGACCCCAATTGAATGATTTAAACGTAAATGTCAGAGCAGCCAAGTTTTTTACCACTGATTAATATGATTAATGTGACAGCACATTTGAGAGCGGTAAGAGAGGGTCTCCATTGGTGAAAATAGCCTACAGTTGGTGCTCAAGATCATTGCCTATGTTGGCTTCTGAAATAGCCCACAGTAACTGCTCTGATAATAGCTGTTGAAACAATTTGTTCAGATTCACTTTGTCCTGACAGAAATGAAAAGAGACTAACTGTTTGAACGTCTGTAGTTATGAGGGAAACAAACCTGTGATGAGCTGTTACTGGTGTGGAGCTGGGTTTGTCCTTGAGTTGATCCATGGCCAAACTGTCCTCAGAAAAGCCACTCAGCTCTCCCGTCACCCAGTCAGGCAGACCTCTGCTGCTCTGCTCTCCAGACCGACCGCTCAGTGGCTCATCAAAGTAGATTGACTAGAAAGTAAATTTTAATATAATTCATCACAATACCAGTTTTAAAATGTGTATTATGCAGACAGAATTGCTTATGTGTTAAATTCTTGTTTTTTACTGACTTTGCTGTGCAAAGTATATCTTTACTAAAATACAAATAACAGCACAAAGGTTGTTACAGAAATCTAATTATATATACTAACATACTTCAATGGATCTTGGCAATAAATTATTAACCAGGCACCTGATTGGCAGCACCTGGAGGTACCAGAAGCTCAAAACAAGAGTCAGTAGCAATAGTGAGATAAACGAGATTTTTTTCATGTGCACAACCCACATACTCAGCTCCGCTGCTCATCCCACAAATCCATGTTCACTACAAATGTGGCACATAGGGTCGAATTTGCCATTTATAAAGATTTAATTTTAGGAAAATCAAGATTTTTTTTCCCACCAGTGCACTCTTTGGGGCTTCTGTAGTTCAGAGGTCAGCCCACCTGTCCCTCACGACGCTTAGTACACGACATGATAATATGGCAGCTAGCAAAGAGGATCTCCTTCTCAAAAAAGGCAGTGCTTCTTCAGATTTCTGGAACTGGTTTGGTTACACAACCTCAGACTTGGAGCAACGAACACCTCACTGCAAAATCTGTTTGAAGGGTCTTGCTACAAAAAGCAGGAGTACAAAAACTTTGTTTCGACACCTGAAACAGGCACTCCATTAATTGGGAAGCAAAATCGATTAAAATCAAAAATCAAATTTGGAATGAAAAAAAAATCRGATTTTTTTGGGCCAATTTAACAGGCTTTCCAACTGTATAACATTTATTGCCAAGACGCTTTGTTACTACAAAGAAACAATCTACCAAACACACACTACCTTACCTTTTTGTGCTAATTTTATACTATTTTAATTTATTCAGATCATTCTTACCATGTAGGCAGGGAGTGTTTTGAGGCTCCCAGGCTCTGGTTTGCACGTGAACGGCCCCTCCAGGACACCTTTTTTCAGCATGTGGAGGAGCAAGCGGGCGTACAAGTTGCGGTTTTTTCGACCCGTCAGTCCTGAACCACATGCGGCTGGGTCACACAGCTTCTTTATCCATACGGCACATCGCTGYCGTTCTGACATGAGGTGACGAGTAAAAGGGATCTTGTTACGGCTTTTGACAAACATCACATTGTGTGATTTATTGAAGCAGAACATGAGAAACTTTCCAGTTATACACTTTAAAATGTTTCAATTACAGAAACAGTAAATATACTGGTGTGCAGTCTTGTTAGCTCTCTACACTAAGGAGTAGAAAAGAGGGAGCCACGAAGAAAACAAACAAGCAGGCAAATGAAAATTTTCYTTCTCATTTTAATTTATCATCCTCATATCGTACAATTGATTTATTATGTATTGTGACAAGCCTAAGAGGGAGATCTTTCAAGTGTATTCTGTTATTTTTGATGGATATGGCTTACAGTTAACTCAAACTGGGTGAGRGTTTTACCCCCCTCCACATAAGAACATACTGTGTGATTGGTCATAAGTTTGTGGGTCATGTGTTTGTGCTCAAAGTGCTTGGGTGCTGCCTTTATTTGAAAATAAAACCGCTCTGTAGRTRCATATTATAAAGACCCCAACTTAATGATTTGAATATGAAAAAAGAAGGATTTAAAACTACATATCTCCTATACTGACCATGATATCACTGTACTTAACTGACCGGCACACTGGCTGTGACGTATAATATGAGAATTCAGATGTCTGTCAAGAAGATGAGGAGACACTAGAACAGGGGTCTGCAACCTGTGGCTCTTTGGTCCCTCTGCAGCAGCTCTTTAGAAATGTGATCAAAAATAACAGAATATATTTTATTGTTTTTATACTCACAACCGAAATCAATTTGTATGCAAACATGTGGTCAATACTCCTAATACAAAAAAGTAAAACATATTGATTAGCTAGCCTGTTGTCTATCTAAAAAAAATCCAACTTCTTTCTATGATCTTTCTCTCAAATCTATCAGGGTTACCTTTAAAGATCTTTAAGTAATATTATAATTAGAAAAAAAAGCCTGAATAGTTCAGTTGTTCAGCTTTTATGAAATTCTGTATAAAACTGCGTACAATATTTGTCTTGTTTACATGAATATGGTCTTTTCTTTTGTGCTGAATTGTAAAAAATTAAGGATGCACCAATATGAAAATTTCAGCCGACATCGATATCTGATATAATTATTGCTGTGATGGCCGATAACCTATATTTACTGATATTACACAAACACACTTGGGTCTTTTTTTTAATATTGTAAATAAACAACCAGAACTCTGACATGACTCCCTACTTCAGTTATTCCTGGCTGAGCAGCATCAGTATCACTATCATGATCAAACAGATGCCGCTCAACCAACCACCTCSCCTCCCAAAACAGAAACACAAAGATAAAAAGTGGGAAATRAATATCGGACGTTGATATCGGGCCAGTTATAAATATRGAACCGATACAGATATTCTAAAAAATGACCAGTATTGMCTGATACCGATATTAATACCGATATATTTTGCATCCCTAGTAAAAATAATAATAAATATTAAAATTCACTATATTTTTTTTCTTTTATAACGTCACCCCCACTGGCCGTAAAGGCTCCCCTTCAACAATCTCAAAAAGGCCCACGAACCACCAGTTGCTTGTTTTGTGACTCTGGACACATTTAATTGGTGAGCCAAAGAGCAGAAATGGCTCRTTTGATGATAAAGGTTGCAGATCCCAGCACTAGACCAAAAACTGCAGATGAGCTGAAGGCCAAGGCTTCCAGACACCTCATCAGGTCCACAGGCTGGTCTCCTCCACGCCACGTCACACTCATGACTTGCATACTAAATCCATATATACACTTCAGTGCAGTGGGCTAACATTTCTAAATGTAAAAACTTTTTATTGATTGTATATAATGTTAAACATTTCTGAGAAGTATGTTGAGTTTTCATTAGCTTAAAGATATAATCAAATGAACATTAATTATGTACACTCGACATGTTCCTCTGTGAGTAAATGAAACATTGATAAAGTTTTCAATGAGCTGTACTTGTACTCAGTACCTCGCACAGGTGTAATAAAACCTCACCTGGTTTGTTGGGGTGTTTCAGCACATATGGTTTCATGTCCAGGAGAAAATGGTCAAACTCTGTGTCCAGCCTTTCCCATGATGAGTCCTCACGTCTCTTCATATCAACTTGAGGGCGAAAATCTCAGAGAACGAGCTAACGACAAAAAAATCTGCTGTCTACGTTTAACGCCGATGTACAGTTTTATTTTTCACAAAGTCACTTATGAAAGAAATCCAGCTTTAAGACATGGTAAAAGCTCCCGTGTTACCATGACAACGCACTGATGTAGCAGAGTGTTGCAGTGATTTTTCTGACTAGCTTAGCTGTTAGCCTAGCCACAACGAGCCAGACTTACTAGTTTTTGGTTGTCCACCCCCTCGTTTAAACAAACAGGACAATGGCGAGCTAACGACCCGGTATAACGCGAAASAAACATTAAAATTTGACCTGGAAATGTGATTATCGAGAACGAAKCCCGCCGCTCAAATGACTTCAAACTTTAGCTTCCTGATTTTACGTCACTTCCGTTTCCGCGAAATAGTGATGGGCAGTTTGAAGCTGAAGCTTCAGTGCATGTTTTGAAAAGCGTTTCAGAAGCTGTGTGGATATTTAATATGTTTTCATCAAATTAACAAGAACAGTTCTTTAATACTGTAATATTTTATTTAATGGGTTTTTTCATGAACACAAAATATACACTCGAGTCAATTCTTTAACAAAAAAAGCTTAAAAGATTTAACATAAATTCTCAACCAAAGCACATAAAATTCAAGTAAAAGAAATATAGTACAAGATGTTAACAATCTAACAAATGAACTAAATCATGCAAAATTCAAGTCACTCTGGAAAAACTATAATAAACATTTATTTATTATTTTTTATTTAACATATTTCTCAATAAGAAAAAAATTGTATAGGTCTTCTGGACGGGTTCTTCTCTAATGAAACGTTTTGTCTCTCCTACAAGAG